ATACGGCGTGCTATGTTCAAAATCGCGTTCTGATCAACAAAGCCAGAATGAAGACACCATACGAAATTCTATACGGACAGAAGCCATCTGTCAGCCATTTCCGAGTATTTGGCTGCCCTTGCACCCTTCTCCACTTGGAATCAAACGCCAAATTCAACGCAAAAGCCGATGACTGTTACTTTGTTGGATATGCTGCTCGAACTGCCTACAGGGTTTACAACCAGAAGACAAAACAGATAGTAGAATTTTTCGATGTTCGTTGGCTCGAAGAAAATGAGACAGATACAACAGTAGGTCCCGATTGGCTATTTGACTACACATCGCTTTTCAAATCATTCAATGTGTCCTCAGATAATCAAACAGGATCTTCGTCAAATTCAAAGATTACTATTGAAGATGAAGAGGACGAAGTTGTCTACCGACCACCACTGGTTTCTTCTGATCCTCCAATGGTGCCCTCTGTTCACACTGATTCTTTTGAGTCTTCTCCTCAACGACTTTCTCCTGATGCTACTGCTACTCCTCTAACTCCGGTTGAAAGAGAGTTCATGAACCACGAGACTTCCGTTGTAACTTCAAATCTGATGGAACTTCTCTTTCTAGAAAGTATTGATGAAGAGTTTGTAGCAGATCCTCCGAACGAACCTTGTTCATCTACTGTGGATCCCACAGCAAATGATGGAGCGCTTAACATTCATATTCTTCCAGTCTCTATCAATGATATCAGCTAGGAGATCCCTGCACGCATTCAACACAATCTTCCAATAGAGAACGCCATTGGACAGCTGGGCGACGGTGTTCAAACGTGAAGTCAAAGTGGAGATGTTAATAAGTGTCTCTACTTTTGCTTTATTTCTCAGATTGAGCCCAAAAATGTCGAAATGGCTCTAAATGAGCCTAGCTGGGTTGATGCCATGCATGAGGAACTTAATCAATTCGAAAAACTCGGGGTTTGGAAGTTGGTGGAGCTGCCAAAAGGAAAGAAATCTCTTGACACCAGATGGGTCATTCGGAACAAGCAAGATGACTCAGGCGAGATTAGTGGTTCGCGGGTTTCTGTAAGTTGATGGTCTTAATTATACATAAGTTTATGCTTTGGTCGCTCGCTTGGAAGCCATTCGTATCTTCCTTGCATATGCTTCCAATATGAACTTCACCGTATACCAAATGCACGTCAAGACGACTTTCTTGTACGACAAGGTCAAGGAGGAGATTTATGTTGACCAACCACCCGGTTTCATTAATTCAAAGCTTCCCAACCATGTTTACAAGTTAGACAAACCTCTATATGGGATGCATCAATCTCCTCGAGCTTAGTATGCTACCCTAACTCAGCATTTGCTCAACCACGGCTATTCCTGAGGTACCATTGATCAAACCTTATTTATCAAACCTGTCGGTCCGGATCAAATTCTTGTTCAAATCTATGTGGACGACATTATTTTCGGGTCGACAAGCCAACAACTTTGCAAAGAGTTCGAAGCAGTGATGAAGCGGTTCGAGATGAGTTCGCTTGGGGAAATGAACACGTTTCTGGGGCTTTAGGTCCAACAATCTTCAACCGAAATCCTTATTCACCAAGCCAAGTATGTGGATGATGTGCTGGAGATGTTCGGGTTCCGAGACGCGAAGCCTGATCTTACACCCGTGGCAGAAAGACCTCTTCTGACCCCTGATCTTGAAGGTGAATCTGTAGATCAGACACACTATCGATCAATGATCAGATCACTCATGTATCTGACTGCCAGTCGCCCAGACGTAATGTTTGCGGTCTGTCAATGTGCTCGCTACCAGGCTAATCCTAAACTCTCTCATTTACTTGCTATTAAACGGATTTTTCGGTACTTCAATGGTTGCCCAAAACTGGGTCTTTGGTGTCCGAAAAATCCAGAATTTGACCTTTATGCTTTTGCAGACAGCAACTATGGCGGGTGTGAGCTTGACAGAAAATCGACTTCAGGAGGATGCCAATTTCTGGGAGATAGATTGGTCTCATGGTAGTACAAGAAGCAGCCTACCGTTTCCACCTCAATAGCAGAAGCGGAGTATGTCGTTGCATCTGCATGTTTTTCTCAAGTCATATGGATCCAACATCAGGTGTTGAGCTACGGTTTGAATTTTCAAGAAACCCCTCTTTTTCTGTGATAATGAGGTTGCGATCCAAATTGCCAAAAACCCGGTCCAGCACTCAAAAACCAAGCACATTGACATCAAAATTCGTTTTATCAGAGAATGTTATGAGCGTTCGCTCATTCGGCTAGAACAGGTCCGCTCTGATAATAATGTAGCAGATCTGTTCACCAAGCCGTTTAACAAAGCTCAATTCGATGTGTTGGTTAATTTTCTGAAAATGATCCGTTTTGAGGATTAATTTTTTTGTATTTAGTTTAGAATAAATTTGCGCAATTTCTTTTCCTTTATTTTATGCACAAATTTAGGGGGAGAAAAATAAAAAATCCAAAAACATTAAAAATTAGAAAATCCAAAAACAACAGAAAATTAGAAAATCCAAAAACATTAGAAAATTAAAAATTTATATATATATATATATATATATATATATATATATATATATATATATATATATATATATATATATATATATATTTCTGTGTTCCATGATATAATTTGGGAAGTGATATCAACAAGTGATAACAGGTAATCTGAGTATGTGTAAAGTACCAAAGTTGAATTGTCTAGGCTCTGTGTTCGATGCGCTGGTAGGCACGAAGGATTTTAATAGACTTGACTAGGTGCAGATGAACTTAAGAAATCAAATGACTTGACAAATCTTGACCTAGATAGATCCGTTTAGCCTGACAATACGACGCTCGGATAGGTTGAGTAAGGAGATATACATGAGAATCCACAAGTCACATTAAAAAACCTGTATCTAGAACTGTGATTTTACTTTTCCTCGTTGTACGGATTCTATCCTTAATTCCGGTATTAACGGGGGGACTGGTGAATTCCAATAAAGTAGGTATGTAGAAAATTATTTTCTTTTTTTCTTACTGTTAGTCATATGTTGTCTCCTCTACGTGATTGGAAGAGATCCGACCTGGACTGCAACATATGCAGATCTATTTCTCTAAATATTATGTCAATGAAAATCTTCTTATCTGTTAGCCATATGTTGTCTCCTTTGTGTGATTAACAATCCAACCTGGTGCACAGCATATGCAACCTTCTACTTCTTAATCCCTCTAAAACCTATAACTAATAATAATCTGAATCTATCCTCTCTATGAATAATAGTCTGCTCACCTAAAGTAAGGAGTATCTCGGAAGTTCTTGATTATTGGGGTATATCAGGAAGCGGGAAACATGTTCTAATACATCTAAAATTGAACAATTATAGATTGTCTGTAGATCTCGCTGCTCAATTTACGTGGACAACAATATCTTTGGTCGTCGTCAGATAGATGGTCCTTAGGAACTTTTATCTAGTAACTTAGGGTCAACCTGTCTTGTCACTTATAGCATGTCCAAAATTTGTCACAAAATTTTTCGTGTTTAAGTGGACCACAAAACCGGCGATTGACCAGATCTATTCATGAACGACAAGGAACTGATAAATGAACAACGATTGTCTAATAACTTTGATCCCTCATCTCAAAAGGTTAAAACAATTTATAGGATTAAAATTAAATTTAATATTTGTCGTTATTAGTATTTCCATTTTATTTTATATTATTTTATTTTAGTCTATTTTTATTTTTGTTTTTATCTTAGTTTTAAGTTTAATTTTAGTTTTTACTTTTTTAAAAATCCTTAGGAATAACATATTTTAGACTTTTAATCCTCAAAATGGTTTGTTCTTGAAAAATGCTTAAGTATGGGTATAATTTTTTTATTATCAAAAAGCTGAGGGGGAGAAAATGAAAATTTATTGAGTATATAAAGGGTGTGTGGGGTGTAAAATTTACCGGCACTGTTTCCAGTTTTTACTTTCTCAACCACATAAAACTTTGAATATTCCATCAAATCTCTTCAAATCGAAGCATATTTCTGGTAAATCTCATGAACGTGATTCTCATAACAAATTTTTCATGAAAAATTGATCATTGTTTGTTGTTTGATCGAAGGAACAAATGTTTCATCTGGAAGTGCGACCAGATACGGTGTGTGTGGCCGCACACGGGCGTGTTCGGCTACACTAAATTGTGAATGGCTGAGCGTGTGCGGCTGCGGCTGCACACTTGCACATGTGCGGCTGTGTGAACTTTCGTGTGCGGTTGCACAATCTCCATTATAATCAAAATCATTTGTGACCTAATGATTGCTTGTGTTTCTTTTCAGATTAAGATGGGAGACTTGGAATTTGCCAAGGTTCACAACTCAGCCATTTTTCTTGAAGATCCTCCTGCAGCTCACAATGATTTAAAGTTCATTATTGATGGTTTCAAGAAGTGTTGCCTGGTCCATGCATTAACAACCTGTGTTGCAATTTACCAAAGCCTGATCAAAGACTTTTGGAGAACCACAATTGTGAAGAAGGACAACAAGGATGGAAAATTCATTGAGGCTACAATTGAAGGAAAGAAAGTTCAAGTGTCAGAGAATATCATTCGAGAATCACTCCAGATCGATGACAGATCAGAATTCTCCATGGAAATTAATATTCATCAAATCCAAGATATTTTAGACCATATGGGGTATGAGGGAACTTTTCCCCTACCATCAAGAAATTGCTACCTCCTTGTTGGAAGTATCTAGCTCATCTGTTTGTGAGCTGTATTTCTAGCAGGAGATCCGGTGCAAATGAAATCTCCTCAGCTAACACTGGAGCAATCAAAGCCTTGGCTGCAGGAATTGAGTTCGACTTCTTGAAGTTTATAATGAATGAGCTGGTTCTAAATCTTGAAGGGAATAAGAGAGATAAAAATTTTATGTACCCAAGATTTTTGCAAATCATCTTTAATGTTATGCATCCCGAGCTGCGAAGAGTAAACGAAACTTTATATCTTAAATTCGTTGGTCCAAGTGCTTTCGGGCTAATGAAACAAAAGAGAGGTGGAAAATTCGTCTTTGAAGGAAAGTTCCCCTTGATCAAATTCGGAATTTTTGAAGAAAATGATCGGTCAGAATCAGAAGATCAATCCATCCCTACGGAGTCTGAAGACATTGTGCATTCAACCTCTGAACCAGAATTTGAGGAAATTCATGATTCTCCTGCAGCCACAGTGGTGGAGGAACATGATTATCATATGGAGGATGAAACTATTTCTACTCATGAGGATGATGATGATGATATCTATGGTGATGTAGAATTTTTGAAGGAAACTGACTTCAGAGGGTTCAGTGATGATATCTCGACAAACATTGAGCTTGCTCTTAATGATGAAGAATTTGGTCCTCTTCCAGGATTCCTCAACATCTGCCTTAATAAAGTTAATGAGGTTGCCTCTTCGGCAACCAAGGCTAGGGAAGAAGGAAATGGTCTCAAAATTATACTATCCACGTACAAGCCCATGGAGGATGCATCAAGTCAAGGAGATGTGATGTCAGAGATTCCTCCCTCTGTGTCAACTATCTCAATATCTGCTCCAATTGTTCCTGATTCAACTCAGTCCCATACCTCTCAGTCTTCTATGGAAACAAGTCAATTAATTGCGAGTCTGGAGGTGCCCATTGTGGGCAATAAACATCAAGTTTTCTCCACTGTCACTGCTACTACTACTTACTCTCCAGTACAAACTGATGAAGGCCCGAGTACTATGTTTGAGACAGGTGGCTCATCATCCATTCCAGAATATTCTCCCACCAGACCGTCATTAGATGAAGCTTCAATAAGACTGGCTAAACACCTGGCCCAACAAATCCCAACCTATTCTCGTGGCAAAGGAATATCATTTAGAGAGGAGCACACAGGTGATGATAAATCTTCTTCGTCTGATCTTCGAGAAGAAATTGGAGTGCTTCGACAGGAACTCATTGAGAAGACCATTCAGATGGATCAACTCACTTCTTACATTGAAGAGCTCAGAGCAAAGGATGAGGAGAAGACAAAACAGATTAAAGTTCTACAGACGAATCTTGGTTCAGTGACTGCTAGCTACTTCAATCTAAAGAATGTTCTGTATCACGCATTTGGTGAAAAAGTCAAAGCCCTTTTTCAACAGCCACACAGAATCGATGATCCTCCCACAGCCCCCACACAGTCTGTCTTTGAAGACTTTCAATTCGATCCACCTGCTCCTCGAACAACCTCTATTGTCAAAAGATTTGAAAAGGAGCCAGGAGGAAGCAGAGCCCAAATAACAATCAAACAGTGAAAGAGAACCGTAACAGCCAACAAAAGCGAAGGGTTACTCTTCATGAAGAATTCAAATGATAATCGCAAAGCCAAATGTGCTAACAGTTACTAATCTTAAGAAAAGAAAATTTAGTGATGAGTATGGAGATAGATTGGGAATTCAAATGTGGGCCTTTCATCCTGAAACAAATTTGTGGGTTGTGAAAAAGAACTCAGGAAATCCTGAGTATTACAAGAGCACCCATGATTTTAACTCATGGACCAAAGTGGATCTTGCTGAACTATCGAGAGCCCCATTCCATAATCCCTTTGGAAGATCCTAGTGCCTCTAACTTCAAAAGATTTCTTGACAAACAGGTCAAGGAAAACTTTCCAATGATGAAGACTGCAAGAGCCTTATACCGAAAAGAAAAAGAAATTCTAGATCCATAATCATGCGAGCCTATGAAGATCATACTTTGACCTGCAACTAAACAATAGAAGGAAATTCCTATCCCTCAACACTTCCATGAGGGATATCTTCATAAAATGGAATTTGGGGCTTACGACGACGAAACTGCCACTGGTGCTATAAAATTCATGGATCGAGAATAAGTCTTGAGGTTGATAAGTGCTAAAGATCTTCTTCCGTTCAGGTATATGGATATCCGCACTCTGTCTCGTCACCAGATTATATGTAGAAAAGAGGTTATGGAGGTGGCTGCTAAAGAGTTTACTGCAATGGTCGCCACAATCATTAACGGAAGAATGTGGATGGGCTCCATGGGAAGATCAGATCTAAAGCTGTTTGAAAAGCCAACTGAATGAAGATCAAGTCTATGCTAGCCTCAAACCAAGGGGGAGATTGATAGTCTATAATATTGTGGTTTGAGCTAGCCATTAATTTTGTATAGATCTGATTAGGGTGGAAGTGTATGTAATGTAGTGTAGTGGTTAAAATTGGAGTATGTGTGCAGCCTCACTCATGTGTGCGGCCGCACACGCAGTGTGCGGCCGCACACGCATGTATGGCTTCACACTCTTGTGCTGGTGTGGCTACTATTTATAGGGGTTGTTTGTGTGAAATTGTACTTGTTGCTGAACAGTGACGTATGTATGTGTACTTTCAAGGTGTACCTGACATTTATGAGCAATAGATGTGTGCGCGCTTGATGTTATTTCTCTTCTACTCCTTCTACACTCTATTTTGATTGTTATTACTTCACTGATTACTGATTTGGATCTATAGTTTTGGGTCTAACAATCGCTTCACTAAAGGTAAAAAATGAAATAGAGCGAACTCTTGGTCTATTTCGGGTTCACTTAAACTGAGAACC